AAGACTAATTTATCCCAGTCTTACTGAAAGGATAGGGATTTTGTTATTATATCTAAAAATTCTTTGTCCAACCCAAGTTCATAAATCATTTTGATGTTATAAATGCAACTTTTGTTTTCTACTTGTCTTTCCATTGCTATCCTAACACAAATGCAAGTGGCTTCTGTGTCAATGGACTTTATAACCGGTTGCTCTGCTCTTCTATTACCTTTCACTTTCTGATTTAAATCTTTCAATTCTTTCTTTTGTTTTTAAAAGTTTGTATTTATTTATGTGTACAAGTGTTTTGCATGCATGTATGTAAGTGCACCTATGTCGTGCAATGCATGTGGAGGCCAGAAGAGGCCTTTGGATGCCTTGGTACTGGAGTTTCAGACGGTTAGCCACCATGTGTGTGAGTGCTAGGAACCAAACCTGGGTCTTACGCAAGAGCAGCCAGTGCTCTTGATTCCCGAGCCATCTCTCCATTCCCTTCTTCTGGCCTTTAAAAATTATATACTATTTTATGTGTGTGTTTTGCCTGCATGTATTTAAGTGTATCCAATGCCTGTGGAGCCCAAAAGACAATGTTGGATCACAGATGGTTGTTAGCTGCTATGCTATGTGGGTGCTGGGAACTGGACATGGGTCCTCTTAAGAGCAGACAGTGCTCTTATCTGCAGAACCATCTCTCCAGCCACTGTGTAGCCCTGGCTGGTCTGGAAGTTGCTATGTAACCAGAATGATCTTGAATGCTTAGAGATCCACCTGCCTCTGCCTCCTGAGTGCTGGAATTAAAGGCTTGTACCACCATGTCCAGCAATGCCTCTCAATTGCTCTTCTTGCCTTCTTGCACAGGGCAGAATCCCAAGAGTACAATGCTAAGCAGACATAGTGAGAGTAGAGATCCTTGCCTTATTTTAGCTTTTAGTGGCACATTCAGTTCTTCTCCACTGACTGTGTGTGCTGCTTTTTATAGATGCTGTTATCAAGCTGAGAAAGTTTCCTTGTAATTCTGGAAGTGGATATTGGATTTTGTTCAATGTTTTTGCTGTCTCTATTTAGGTGATCATTTAATTTTTCCTAGGTTTAGTTAATACACTAAATTACATTGATTGTTTTTTTTCCACTGCTAATTTAACCCTGAATTCCTGTTTTTTAAAATATATTTTGGAATAAAGATCACTAGAACTTTGTTAAGAACTCTTGCATCTATGTTTGTGAGGGATATTGATCTAAAGTTTTCTTATTTAGTATCTAGCACTTTAAATATAAAAAATCATAAAGATAAATGGATAAAGTTCTATCAAACTAACAACCAAAAGAAAGCAGCAGTTATTACAATAATTTCAAATAAGACATTTGAGCAAGTAAAGTTATAAGGGGTAAAAGAGGGCTCTGTGGGCTGGAGAGATGGCTTAGTGGTTAAGAGCACTGATTGCTCTTGCAGAGGACCCAGGTTCAATTCCCAGCACCCATATGGAGGCTACGAACCATCCTTAACTTCAGTTCCAGGGGAATCTGAAGTCCTCTTCTGACCTACATGACATTGCATGACATGGGTGCGCTCACATACATGCAGGCAATACACTCATTCACATAAAAATAAAAATAATAAAATATTTAGAAAAGGGGCTGGAGAGATGGCTCAGCAGTTAAGAGCACTGACTGCTCTTTCAGAGGACCCGGGTTTGATTCCCAGCACCCACATGGTGGTTACAAACCATCCTTAACTCCAGTTCCAGGGGAATCTGAAGTCCTCTTCTGACCTACGTGGCATTGCATGACATAGGTGCGCTCACATACATGCAGGCAATACACTCATATACATAAAATAAAAATAATAAATAAAATATTAAAAAAGAGAGCACTGTGCAATAATAAAGTTGTCAACACTCCAAAAAAGACATACAGTTTTGAACACACATATGTCTAAAAACAAGAGCATCAGACACATGGGTCAAAAACCAAGAGAATTTTAAAAAGAAGCAGATTAATTTACTATTATTGATGGAACCTCTAACACCATCACAAATGGATAAAGCCAGCTAGCAGAAAATCAGTAAGACAAAGCTTAACACCACTACTAATCACTGTATATAATTTGGATCTATTGGCCAATTATCTTAGAGCAGAATCCATTTTCTTTCCAAGCTCACACAGAACATTCACCAAAGCAGAGAACATTGTGGGCCATGAAACACACCTTGACAAGTTAGAATAGCAGAAATCATATCATGGTGTCTCTTCTCACACCACAATGAAATTAAACTAGAAATCAATCAAAGACAGCCAGCAAATAGCCAGACACTTAGTATCAAACAACAAAAGTCTAAAAACATGAGTCAAAGAAGAAAGCTCAAGAGAAATTAAAAATATTTTTACTTGAAATGCCAAAATTTGTGTGGTACAGCAAAAATTTTCTTAGAGGAAAATTCACAGCATTAAATACATATAAAAGAAAAAGACCTGTCAATAATAAAAATTTCACCTTAGAAAATTAGAAAAAGGAGTGAAAATTAAATTCATAGTAAGTAGAGTAAACAAAATTAGAGCAGAAATTAATAGGAAATAGCTGTAAAATAGTAACAAAATTCAGGGCTGGAGAGATGGTTCAGCAGTTAAGAACCCTGGCTACCAGAATACCTGGGTTTGAATCCCAGCACCCGCATGGCGGCTAACAACTGTCCGTAATGTAACTCCAGTTCCAGGGGATCCGATAGCCTCTTCTGTCCTCTGTGGGCATTGCATGACATGGGTGCACTTACCTACATGCAGGCAATACACACATACACATAAAATAAAAATAAATAAAAAAATAGTAACAAAATTCAAAGTTGTTTCTTTAGAGTGGTGTTAATGAAACTGATAAACCTCTAATCAGAGTAACTAAGAAAAAAAAAAAAAACCCTCAAATTACTAATGCCTAAAATGAAATGAAGGAATTCCACTACAGTTCTCATGGACAGTAAAAGATAGTAAACAGGCTGGATGTGGTGGATCATGCCTCTAATTCTAGCACTTAGGAGGGTGAGTCAATAGGACTGCCATAGTTTGAGGTCAGCCTGTACTAGATAGTACCAGGCCTGCCATGTCTACATGGCAAAACCCTATCTCCAAAACAAAGGGCTAGAGATGTAGCTCAGTGGTAGAGCACTTATCTAGTATGTGAAAAGCCCTAGGTTCAATCCCTAGTATCACACCAACCCCTTCTTCCCTTCACTACTATGAACTCTATAATCACAAGTTTGATAACCTAGATGAATCAATTCTTGAAGCACAATCTGCTAAAACTCACACAAGAAGCCAACAATCTGCATAGGCCCCTTTCAAATTAAGTGATTAATCATTTTACATAGGAGGAGAAAACCCACTCTAATAGGGTTTAGGCATTAGATAAATGTTAGAGTAAGGCAGGAAGTATTTTGTTTACTCTTCAGTTTCCAAATGTTTCTGTTATAGTTTGAATGTGAAATGTTTGCCCCATAGGCTCATGTTTTCAATCTTTGGTTCCTAGCTGGTGGTACTGTATTGGAAGGCCGGGCAACTTTTGAGATGCAGGGCACAGTTGGTGAAAGTAAGCCACTAAAAGTGGGTGCCTTGGAGGTTACACCTGCTTCTGCTTCTGGTTCTAGCCTACAAGTCTCTGCTTCCAGATGCACTAAGATGTGAACAAATTCTCGTCTCCATGCCTTCCTAGCTAGGATGCCCTGAAACTTCTGAAACCTGAGTCAAAACACACCTTTCTCTCCTCTCTCTTTCAGGTATTTGGTCATAATGAGGAGAAAAGTCACAAATACACCTTTCCTTTAAAAATGTACAACATCACTACACAACACAAAGCAGGAATGGCTGCATTATGATCGGATAAAGCATACTTTGGAGTAAAGAATGCTACCAGGAAAAAAATCTCTTTGTACAATGGATCATTCCATAATATCTAAACGTTTAGAGAAGATAAACACAGGTAATAATAAGTGGATTGTTAATAGGTACTGACCCACAACGCTTTTTTTTTGGTCTTTTTGAGACAGGGTCTCCCTGTAGCCCAGCTGTCCTGGAACTCACTATGTAGACCAGGCTGGCCTTGAACTCACAGAGATCCACCTGCTTCTGCTTCCCAAGTGCTAGGACTAAAGGCCCACCATGCCGGGCAATACTTTTTTTTTCAGTGCTGGATTGTGAACCCTGGGCTTCATACATGCTAGGCAAGTGCTCTTACCACTGACCTACATTCCCAGTCTCTTACTATGCTTTTCTCTATAACTAATAGGATAAGCAAAAGAGGAAATCAGACACAATGTTGAGTATCTGATCAGTACCAACTGACTTGACCTGACATTTGTAGAATACTCTACCGAGTAACTGCAGAACACATATTTCAAATGCACAAGGGGAACATTTACCAACATAGGCCATACTCTGACCCACATAACAAGTGTGAATATACTTAAGGTGATTCAATTTATACAAAGTATAATCTCTGGTTATGGTATTAAATTAGAAGTCATAACAGATATTCAGAAAGCTGCTCAATAATTTTAGACATTATAATACACTTACAAAGCACCCACAGGTCAAAGACGATACCAACAGGGAAATTGTATTTTAGGATGAAGGAAAAGAAAAAAATACATCAAAATCGGTAGGACAGGCTGGTCATGGTGGTACATGTCTTTAATCTCAGCACTCCATGGGAGGCAGAGGCAGTGGGTTCTCTGCGTGATCGAGGCCAGTTCCAGGCCAGATGGGGCTACAGGGAGACCCTGTCTCAAAAGCCCAAACCCAAATCCAAAAAAACCAAGAGGTAGGAATCAGCTAAATTAGCATTCTTATACTACCAAATGACTCTAAGAGCTATCCCAACAATGACCTGTTTTCTAGTTAAGAAACTAAAAAATGAAACTTTAGAAACTAAAATCAGAGAAGATAATGGAAGAAACAATGAATTAGAAAACCGAAAAGCAATAGAGCAAATATATATTACAAAAAAAAAGACAAATGACTAATTTCAGGAATGAGAGCGATCAGATTTTTATGGTTATTATAAGGACAATATGGGGGTATTTACAGATTTACATCAAATTAAATCAAGCAGTTTTGACAGTTTCACAAGATACTAAAGCAAAGTCGAGAAGAAATAGCAGCACTTGTTGAATGAAGGCTAGCTATCCTGGGCAGGGCGCTGAGTGGGCTTTAGGGATCCACAGACATTTTCCCCCAAGCAGTTCTAAGTTCTGGGGAGGAGAAAAACAACTAAAAATACTGATCCATCCGGGGAAGAAGGCTGGGGCGGGGGTTGGCTGGTTTTGGAGGACGTCAGCACCCCGTCGACCCGAGAGGCCCAAAGACGTCCAAAGGAACCAGGGCAGCTTGCTCTGGCCTCTGCAAGCCGCGCACACGCCGCCGTTTTCGCAGAGGAAGTATCTCGCTGACCCAGGGCCGGGAGGCTTGCGCCTGCGCACTTTCGCAGAGCACGCTCCGGCGGGGTTGCCGGAAGTGCGACCTTCCGCTCCCGGGGCACATTCCCATCCGGGTCACGCCCATCTTCCGGGTGTCTCTGACAGAGCTTTCTACACTGCCTTTTCGGCGACTTTTTGGTTTTCCGCTTTTTTGCCGCCGCGCCCAACCTTACACGCCCGCGCCAGCCCTGCCTTTCCTTGGGTCTCGACCCCGCCAGAGCCGCACCCCGGCCTTAGGTCGCCCGTTGGAGCCGGAGCTGGAGCTGGGCCTCGGCGTCCCACGGGCCTCCACTCCCTCGGTTGGCTCGGGCGGGAGCTGTGGGCGATCGCCGGGCTGCCGCGGCTCGGACCTGGGAGCGTGTCGGCGGGCAGTGCCGCGGGGCCCTGCCTAGCCCTTCCCCAAGGACGCGGGTGAGTCGAGGGGCGAGGTGTGGAGGCCCCGCTCCCGGGCCACGCGCGAAACTTTCGGAAACTCCTGTGTCGTTTTGCGCGGGAGAGGCTGGCAGTGCCCGGGAGATCTCAAGACTTGGGGCTTCCCCCCGGGTTGCTGGACTTAGTGAATCCTAGCGCCGCCTTTTCCTCTCTGACTCTGCCCACCATGCCGCCCCCGCCCTGTCCTCAGTCTTAGGCCAAAAGAGTAAGATTGTCTTAATACTCGTGGTTTTCAGAAGGTTCGTGGACTAAGCTGAATGTCTAGATTAATCACCTCTTGTGGTGGACAGTTATCTGGAAGACTTTTAATGAAACGGCGTGAAAGCGTCTCAGTTCTTCATTCATTGTATGGGAAAAGAGCAGGTTGGGTTTGGCCGACTGATTGTTGAATATCCTTTTCCTGTTCTGCCTTCGTAGATAGGCTCTCAATCCCTCTATCTGGTTAATAACACGAGGGGCTTATGTTTTCCCCAGTTTCTGTATGGTTTAAGTTCCCTTTCTTGTTTTGCCTCTTATTTTTGTTCAAAATAATTATTCATATTGTAGATAAATAGAAGAGAAAAAGAAATTGCAAAAAACAAACCAGGTTGGCAACTTTTAACATGTTTAATGTATGTGTAGTGCTGGTGAGGAAAGATCATAACTAATCATTAGGTGTGTATTTGTATGACGGATAAACTATTTTGTAAATACTATCGTAGTGTATGGTTCAGTACCACAAAAGTTTTTTTAATTAAAAAAAGTTTATTGTTTTTATGTGTGAATGTATTGCCTGCATGTGTGTAAGTGCACCCGTGTCGTGCAAAGCCTGCAGAGGCCAGAAGAGGGCATCAGACTCCCTGGAACTTAGGGACAGTTATTAGCTGCCATGTGGGTTCTGGGAATCGAACCTGGGTCCTCTGGAAGAACAGCAAGTGTTCTTAACTGCTGAGCCATCCCTCTAGCCCCACAAAGTTTTAATGTGTTAACCTTAGGATCTTAATTTGTATTGGTTAATAGCCAGTAATAGTAACATTACTTTGTTGGTGTGAAAACCCCAGTTGTATGTGATCCAGAAATTATAATACAGAGACCCCCATGCAAGACAGGCCATTTTTTTCCACTCATTTGAGAGATACTTACTTGTAATCTTGTTACTTGATTTTTCTTTTTTAATTCTGGATGGAATTTGATTTCTTAATAAAAATGTCCTGTTGAAAACCTGAAGGTCGTTTTGATGATGGATGAGCAGTGATTTAGGGACTAGACTTTTTCTATTGTGGAGAAAAAAAAAAAAGACTGGTTTAGGGGATCAAAAGATACTTATACAAAGTGTGCAGATAAGGTGATTTACCTAATACTGTTCCTGTTTGTATTAGGTAGACTCCACTTTCCAAGGAATCTTGAAGAAACCGTCATGTAAGGTTGAGTGTTCTATAACTTGCAGGAGAGATTAAATTGAGGACAATAATTCCGGGTTGTAAATTACAGGATCAAATACTGCATCAGTAGAAATACTTTCTAAAGTTGTCTGTTACTATCTTGCTTGTGTATGGTCATTTACATATAAGCCTGTTTTCTATTGGGTTAAATGTAATCAAACAGTTTTTAAGGTTCTTCCCTCAAGGCAAGAACCAGTATACTGGTTTAAAAAATATTTTATTTGTTAATTATTATTTTTAAAATGTTATTTTTATTTTATATGTATCAGTTTATTGCCTGCATGTATGTAAGTGCACCTATGTCATGTAGTGCTCATGGAGGTTAGAAGAGAACATCAGATTCCCTGGGACTGGAGTTAGGGATGGTTGTTGGCCGCCATGTGGGTGCTGAGAATCAAACCTGGGTCCTCTGCAAGAGCAACCAGTACTCTTAACTGCTGAGCCATCTCCCCAGCCCCCTGGTTTTAAAAACCATACAAATTTGACCTAGATTATTCTTGTTTCACAGTTGAATACAGATAAAAAGAAAAAAAAAACTTTTAAGGCAAGAAAAAAACTAGGATATTTCTGAATGTTATTTGTTATAAAGTTTATCATACCTACTACTATAGATAATGTGGAATAATTTTTACATAGTCTAGTGAAGAGACTTTTCATAAAGAAAGACTTAGAAAATATTTAAATTTTATGGAGTTCTGGTGTAGCGATAGCTTCACTTGATGTTATTTTGCCAAACTGTGTGTATTATAAAGATCTGTTGTGTGTTTGTTTTTTGTTTGTTTGTTTGTTTTTTTTTGTTTTTTTGAGAGAGGGTCTCACTCTAGTCCTGGCTGCCCTGGAACTCATAGAGATCTGCCTGCTTCTGCCTCCTGAGTGCTAGTATTAAAGGCCTGTACCATGCTGGGCTCCCTTGGGTTTTCTAACAGATTATTGTTTCAGTGTCATTTAAGTCATAATCATTGCTGAAATATATTAGGAAAAAGTCTTGAAATTGATGGGTTTTGGTTTATTTCCTTGTCTGTAGATGGTCATACAGAATTCTCACATGGGGGAGAATTGAATGTTGTTGGTTAAATTTCTTAGGAATGGTTTTCTCCATTTTGAAGGCTGTCCAGTTAAGAGTCTGACTTATGAGTCAAAATTCATACTTTATGCTGAGAGGTTTTGTGTCTCTGTGTTTGTGTGTGTGTGTGTGTGTGTGTGTGTAAAGCAATAATTAAAGAAGAGTTCATGAATTTGAGAGGGAGTCGGGAGGATGTGGGAGGAGTTGGAGCAGGAGAGGGAGAACTGGAGGGTTGGAAATGATTTAAATAAAGCACTCAAGTATGAAATTCTCAAAAAATTTTTAATTAAAAAAGAAAAATTCCTACTTAGGAGAGCCTGACATATTTTATTGTGGAAGGACTCCAAAAGAATTAGTACTTACCTTGGAATTTTGGATGCATTGAACTAGAATGTACCCTAGAGTAAACTTTGGCTTTGAAATCATTCTAAACTTTTAAACCTAGAGTAATTTGGGTTTTTAACTTTGTAAAGTAGTTCTGGTACCAGACATCTTTTTGACTTCTTCTTAGTTTGATCATGTAATGGGATAGAAATAAAATGAGATCTAGACTATTAGCTTTTTTCCATCTGTAAGTCTGAATGCAGACATAGAGGACTTTGAGTTTAGAGGAAAAAGACAGCATACTAATAGGTATAAATGACCCAACTTTTGAACTCTTGACCTCTTTAAATTAACCTGAAATAGAACTTTTTTTTGAGATAGGTCTCACTATGGAACCTAGATTGTTCTCAAACTTGAGATCATCCTGCTTGAGCCTTCTGAGTGCTGGGATCTCAGGCATGTACTACCTACCACTCACAGCTTTGAAATAGAACATTCTTGTTTTGTTCTTTTTGGGTCTTGCTATATAGCCTAAGCTGGGCTTGAACTTCTGTGTCATCTAGTCTACTCTCAAACTCCTGATTCTCTTGTCCTAGCCTCTCAAGTGCTAGAATTACACGTATGTACCACCAATGCCTGGCACGAAATGGAACTTTTTCATTCTGGCTTTTCTGAATACAAATCTCTTCATTTACTTAGATCCACAAAATGAGATATCAAGCAAAATTCATTATAGTTAATCAATGTTGTTTTCTAATACATCCTATGAAAAAGGAATTATTATTATTTTTTGGTCTTTCTGAGAAAGGGTCTCCCTATAGCCCCAACTGGCCTGGAACTCCCTATGTAGACCAGTCTGGCCTTGAACTCACAGAAGTCCGCTTGCCTCTGCTGCTGGCTCCTAAGTGCTGGGATTACAGGCGTGTACCACCATGCCCGGCTCAAAAAGGAGTTTGTTTGTTTGTTTGTTTGTTTGTTTGTTTGTTTTAAATAGAAGTTAGTTCAAGGAAGCAGAGTAAAGGAAACCAAACCTTACTCCTGGACAAACAATCAAACAAGGAGTTGGTTGCCTGGTTTGGATCAAGCAGTCCATGATTTTTGAATGTACTCATTTAAAATAAAGAATTCCCTACAGTGCTGTTCATGGTGCTTGCCACCTTCCTCTGAGCAGAGCAGTTCAAGGGGTACAGGTCAGCACAGACTGACTTAAAAAAAAATCAATGAACAGGAAATACAGGCCTCCAAAGAAAGTTGATGGATGTGTTTCCTAGGTAATAATTTGTCTCAGATCCAAATTAGAGGAAGGTAATTTGGAATTGGATCTGATGATGGTTTTGTCTCCTGTTCACAACCTGTGAGGAACCTTTGGCTGATGAATCTTGCTGTATGTGGTCAACCTAGGAGATTTTAAACCTAGAGAGTTGTAAAACTGAAGAACAGAGAACAAAATTTATATGAATTATGTAGTAGTTTTCGCAGGTCTTTTTTTTTTTTTGGTTCTGTGGCTCTTCCAGATTTTTCAACCCTCCTAGTCTTATCCTCTAATTCTTTTAATTGGCTAGGTTTTATTTTCCTTTTTACAAAAAAAAAGAAAAAGAAAAAAGCTTTTGTACTTTTGTAGCTCAATCTTTGATTTATATTTATCAAAAAAGAAAATTTAGCTGGGTGTGGTTGTGCATGCCTTTAATCCTGGAACTTGGGAGGCAGAGGCAAGTGGATCTGTGAGTTCAAGGCCAGCCTGGTCTACAATGGTGAATTCCTGGCCAGCTGGGCACTACAGGGAGATCCTGTCTCAAAAAGACCAAAAAAGGAGAGAAAATTTAGCACTTTTTATAACCTGAATCATCTTTTATATGTACACATAGACATATGCACACACAATAATACATACACATAAAACTTGTCATATCAACAAATTTGTGCCATAATAAATATGTAAATATAGCAAATACTATATAACATATAGTAAATGTTATATGTAAATATCACAACTTTTGTTTAAATAAGTATATTTAATGGTTATGTTATTATAAGAACCAAATATCTCAGAAAAACACTGACCAGATACATTGGATAATGTGTAGTCCTTCTGCCTCAACCTCTTGACTTTTTCCCAGTTATTATTATTATTGTTGTTGTTAGTAGTGGTAGTAATAGTAGTAGTAGTAGTAGTAGTAGTAGTAGTATTTTCTTGACTATCTTCTTGAGACCCTCCATCTTTCTGCTCTCACTTTGAGTAACTTAACTTCCCTTCACTATCATGCTGGGAATTTAATTTATTTCTGCTGTACAGAGATGCTCTTTGCCCACATCTCAGGTTTTCTTTCTTTTTTCTCCCTGAAACAGTCTTGCTACTGTGTAGTCCAGGCTGACCTTGAAGTTGAGATTTTTCTTGTCCCAGTCTCCTGAGTGCTGGTATTACAGTATATGCCACCATGCCTGGTCATCACCTTTTTAAAATAAGTCTCTACATATCTAAAAGTGTTTTCATTCTCCCTTGTATAGGATCATAAGTGGGGACAGTCTTGTGGCTTGAGAAGATTTTACTCAAAGCTTTGAAGCAGTAATTTGGGACTTGTGGCTTCTACTATTAGAAAATCCAAAAATGTTTCGATTCCCAACTTTTTAACATTCCCTCCTCTGGAATGTCATACAAACTTTTCTCTGGATAGTCTGAAATTTCATCATAGTGTGTGTGTATGCATGTGTGTAATTTCCCCGGAACTTTTATTTTAGTGATTTTCTCTTTTTTTTAACTTTTACAAAAACTTTATTGAGAATTTCATACATACATATAAGGTGTTTCGATCAAATCCATGCCCACTCCCTCCCCTCCAACACCTCCCGTATCTCCCCATCACTTTTTTCTTTCTTTTCTTTTTTCTTCTTTCATTTATTTTTATGTTGCTTTTGGCTACTCTAATGTTCCCCCTCTGAAGAGGTAACCCTAAAATCTTTTAAGGATTAGATAATAGCTCCCAAATACTTTTGACATTTTTGGCCTTTGGAGCAGAGTATGTTGCTAACAGTCCCAAGGACATTTTGACTTTTAGCCAAGAAACTGGCTACTTTTCTTTGGGGTCTTTTTACCCTAACTGCCTAGCCAGTTCCTACCTTCTGTTCTTATCACACTGTCCTCTGAAGGCTGAGATCCTACAGACAGCCTGAGCGGGTGGATTCGGCCCTCCATCTGTGTAGCAACTCAGATCTCAGCACACCATCAGAGAGTGCTGAGTTCTGGCCTCCCTCTGGCCTCTCTCTGGCATAGGGTTGAAAACGCCGGGAACTGCCTGAGAACACCAGGATCCTGCCTCCATGTGGTGAAGGAAGCCTGAGTGTACCTGACCGGAACCTGAATTGGGCTTCTGTGGGTACTCCTGAATAGCTGATCTGAAGCGATCAATTCCCTCCAAATTA